GTGGGATCTTAGTTCCCCGACAAGGGATCGAACCCATGCCTCCTGCAGTGGAAGCGTGGAGTCCTAACCACTGGACTGTCAGGGAATTCCTCTCAGCAGCCCATTGTTGTTTTTTTTTTTTTAATTTATTTTTTCACTGTGGTGGCTTCTCTTGTGTGGAGCATGGGCTCTACGCACGGGCTTCAGTAGTTGTGGCTTGCGGGCTCTAGGCACGGGCTTCAGTAGTTGTGGCTCGCGGGCTCTAGAGGGCAGGCTCAGTAGTTGTGGCGCATGGGCTTAGTTGCTCCGCGACATGTGGGATCTTCCCGGACCAGGGCTCGAACCTGTGTTCCGTGCATTGGCAGGCGGATTCTTAACCACTGAGCCACCAGGAAAGCCCAGCAGGGCATTCTTTGCCTGTTGATTTCTAAGATTACTCCTGTAATGTCAAATTTCTTTATATGCTTTGGATTCGTTTTTGAGCTCTTCTATTTGTCCCATTGCTATACCTGTCTATCTCTACATCAGTAAACACCTTACTGTCTTAATTGTTCTAGCCCAAGATAAGCCTTGATATCTGGTAGTGTGGATCCTCCTTTTTCTTTTAAAGAATTAGAGCTATTCATGGTCACGTCCCCTTCAGTATAAATTTTGAGATAAGCTTGTCAAATTCCATATAAAACCTGTCGTGATTTTGATTGAAATTGACATTTTGGGGACTTCCCTGGTGGCACAGTGGTTAAGAATCCGCCTGCCAGTGCAGGGAACACGGGTTCGAGCCCTGGTCCGGGAAGATCCCACATGTTGCGGAGCAACTAAGCCCATGCGCCACAACTACTGAGCCTGTGCTCTAGAGCCCGCAAGCCACAACTACTGAGCCCGAGTGCCACAACTACTGAAGCCCACGCGCCTAGAGCCCCTGCTCTGCAACAAGAGAAGCCACCCAATGAGAAGCCCGGGAACCGCAACAAAGAGTAGCCCCTGCTCACCGCAACTAGAGAAAAGCCCGCGCGCAGCAACAAAGACCCAAGGCAGCCAGAAATAAAAAATAAAATAAATAAATATTAAATAAATAAATAAAAATTAAAAATATATATTTTAAAATATTAAATAAATAAATAAAAATGAAAAAAAAAGAAATCGACATTTTTACTCTTTTAGTCTTACTGTCGTACCTCTCCACTTACTCAAATCTTCAGTACCCTTCAGAATCCTTCAACTTGGGGTGAACTTCTTTTAGTCTTCTTAGTAGTTTATTGGATGTATCTCAGGTTTCTGAGTTATTTCTTTTGCTGTGTTATTCACTAACTGTATAGCTAAGGATTAGTGTCTCTTAACCTTTTGGTTTATCTAGATCTCAAAAGAATGTATAAAATTAGACTCTATGAAATGTATAAAGTTACTTTTCAGGAGAAGGAGAAACACAAAATGCCATTTAGCAAGTTTGAATCTTCTTGAAGAACAGAATTGTATAAATAGAAAGATAATATGCATAATAACACCTTCTTTCATTCTTTATTATTTTTGTGGAATGTCTCATTTTGTCTTTTAGCCTATATGATTTGGGTGGTTTCTTTTGTGTTTTGTGTGCCTTGAGTAAACTGAGTCAAAATTTAAAAAAGAAATTTTAATCCCTTACCACAAAGAAGAAATGGTAATTATGTGACATGGCAGAGGTGTTAGCTAATGCTATGGTGTTAATCATTTTGCAGTATATAAGTGTATCAAATCAACATGTCGCACACCTTAAACACATACAATATTATATGTCAGTTACATCTCAATAAAACTGGAAAAAATAAGGAGCTGATTAAATTATAGATTGGGGAGGGAAAAAAAGAAATGTAATACTAGGACTCTGGCACTAATTTTTAGCAGCAAGAGAACCACAGTGTGATTAAAAATAAGTATGCATAGCCATTACTACTCAAGATTTAGAATAGGGAGTGTTAGTAACTAAGCAATATTATTTGGAATTCCAGTTATAAAGTACTAGAAACCATTCATAAGCCTTCCAGGCTGCTAGTATTTATTGAACAGGTATGTGTCTGAGCACATGAATAGAAACAGAAAAAAAATTTTTTTTAAGTTTGAATTTTATGGTGGTTGTTGGTAGCTGGAGAGGGAGCATAGCATAATGATGGAGAACATGGGTTTGGGGACCAGAAGCTGCCTGGGTCTAATCCTGGCTCTGACACTTGCCAGTAATGAGTGAGATACTTAACTATTTTCTGCTTCAATTTCCTCATCTGTAAAATGCGAATAATAGTAGCACCTACTGCATAGATTTGTTGTAAGGATTAAATTAATTAATACATGTAAAGCACTTAGAAAAGTCCCTGGAACATAGTACAGGCTTCATAAGTGTTATTACTAAGGTCTTCTTATTGATCATCATCAGAAATATCCCTAATTCTGATGATCTTACACATATATTGAGAAAAATGTATGTAAATGCCTAGTTCTATAGCTGACATATGGCAAGAACACAGTAAAATGATACCTATAACTATTGTGTTCTTTTTTCTTATCTAGTTGCTTAATTCTGTATTTGCTTGAGGAATCTTATTTTGTTTCAGAAAAATATTGAATCATTACTGTTTTTGAAGGTGTTCTGTCATTAGTATTGTTTCTAATGTATAAAGTATATTTCTAATGTATAAAGATAATTATTTCTATCGTAGCTGTTATTTACTTATATGTACTAGACAGTGTTCTAGGTGCTTTACACATATTACATTACTTCTAGACCTTAAAACAATCTTCCACTGTCTCGGTAAAGGTTCAGAACAAGAAGGTGTTTTGGATAAGTTCAAAAGAAATACTTTTTTATTTGAGGGAAACAGTAACATGATTTCTGTTAAAGGAAAATCAGACAAAATATACTTTAAGGCAAAAAGCCTTAAAAACCTGGAGGTAAAGAGGATATTTCATTTTGATGAGAGATTAAATTCACCAGAAAGATCAACAGTTTGTATGCACCTAATAACCTGGCCTCAAAATGTATAAGACAGAAACTGACAGAAAAACAAGGTGAAATAGGCAAATCCACAATCAGTAAAGATAACAGGTTTAAACAACCTTCTTAACAAGCTTGACTAGTGGATAAATAGGACACTGTTCCCAACAATTGCAAAATACACTTTCTTTTTAAGCAAACATGGAATATTTATTAAAATTGAAATATGCTGGGCCATAGCAAATCTCAAGAAATGTCAAAGGGTTGAAATCTTACATAGTAGGAGTCCTCATAAGACTCCTGCATTGGGGATCCATTTGAGATCTGTAGTCAGGAATTTAAGGTGAATCATCAAGGTTTTTTCCTCCAGCAAGGTTAAATGGTTTGGTTGTAAGGATAAGAGAAGGTGATTAGTTGACTAACCAGGAATGAGGTTTCCCAGGAGACCATACCAAGGAAGCCAGAGGTAAGGGAGCTAAGGATGTTTACAGAGGCATTTAATATTGAATCCTGGAGTCTAAGCTGAGCAAGAAGAGAAGTGAGGACATGATGAGGATGATGGACAGTGAGAAAGTGGTAAGATTAATGGATGGGAGGGAGGTATTAATGAAATAAGAGAATTGCTGGAGTACATGAGCTGGAAGGATAAAAGGTGGTGGTCAAGTGTTGGGATGTTTAAAATCAAGATTTTGGAGATGATGCAGTTACTGGGGCGGATGATCAGGGGAGATGGCCGTGGAATGGGAAACTGGAATGGTATGTTGGACATGATTGTGATGAGGAGACCTGAAAGGCCACAGTGTTAGATGAGTCATCCATATGATTATTGACATCACCAAGAGCAGTTCAGGAGTAGAATGGACCATAGCAAGGTTCTGAAGCCTTTAGTTGAAGAGTGAGGGAGTTGAGGGTCAGTAGATGACATAAACAAGTTAGGATAGTAAATGATGAAGTCTGATGGCAAGAAATTAAAATGTGTTCAGGTTTTTGAAGGAAAAGAGGAGAAAAAGGGTTTAAGGAGAAGCAAGGAGGAATATTGCCCGTCTATAGGAAATGTTGGAAGAAAAGTAGCAGTCTCCAAATGAGAGGGCTTCCAGGGACAGCCAAGTTTCAAGTTAGGGAACTGAAGGGGAACTTTTCAGGGAGAAGGTTGAATAACACAGGAATTTTCACTCAGTAAAAATTATCCATTGCCATCATTTTCATCATCATCATCATCATCATCATCATTATTCGTATTAGATTTTGTGGTTAGCTGTTGTGTAATACCATTCTTACTTCTGGCCACTTCAGTAAACTTTATACTGTTGTATTGATAGGTCATTTACTATTGATTTTTTTTATTATTGATATTTTCTGTAAAAGTTTGGATAGTCAAGCCTATGATAATGAATATCAAAATAATCATTATCCTATCATATTGGAAAATCATGTTTAATCTCATTTGTTTAGTCTCATTTGTGGAATAACTACCATATGCCAGGTGCTTATCTATTGCTGGAAATACAGAGTCATGTAAGATATGATACCTCTTCTCAAAGAGTATGGATCAGTAAACTCACCAGATATAACTTGTGAGTTGTACACATACACAGCCTTACACACACAGACTGGAAGATTTTACATGCACACCCTCAGACTATTCTAGCAGTGGTGGTCCCCTTGAAGACATGAAGGAAATGGAAGGGGCAAGGTATTAAGGGGAGCTTTTCATTTTTAGCCTGTGTTCTTTGAATCTTGTATTTAAATGCATTTATATAGTTTGTTAATGAATAATATTAAATATTCTATTAAAATGCCTTTATATAGTTAATTAATTAAAAATAAGAAAATTTATGGAAGTTACAGTTTTTCTTTGTAGTAATTAAAAGGAGAAATTGTGGGGACTTCCCTGGTGGTCCAGTGGTTAAGACTCCGTGCTTCCACTGCAGGGGGCATGGGTTCAATCCCTGGTTGGGGAACTGATCCTGCATGCTGTGCAGCGCAGCCAAAGGAAAAAGAAAAAGGAGAAAAGGAGAAATTGTGTTTTTTTAAGCTTAAGTCTTTGTCTGTTTTTTTCTAGGCAGGGATACCAATGGGACCAATACCAGCAGGAGGAATGCCTTACCTGGGACAAGCACCATTCCTAGGAATGCGTCCTCCAGGCCCACAGTACACTCCAGACATGCAGAAGCAGTTTGCCGAGGAGCAGCAGTAAGAGATCTCAGGATGCAAGGATAAAGATACATGATAGCAATCAATTTTAAAATTGTCAGGTGATCTGTAGTGCAGATTTGAAGCTCGGTGCCTTTACGGCACAGTCACGATGCCTTTAAAACTCTTTAAAATACTCTTATTATTTAAAAGTTTAAAGCCAGAAGGGACCTTAGAGATCCTGTAATTCAATCCTCTGACTTTACATCTGGGGAAAGTGAGGTCCAAAGAAATAAGCAAGTGTCAGCCTGGGTTACACAGTTACCAGTAAGACCTGGACCCGAGTGCGGGCTTCCTGAGTCCCAGAACCGCTGCTCTTTCTCATGTATACTGCCCCCTCAAGTAGAGGTTTCTTTTTTGTATGCAGAGCAAAGAGTGTTTTTATTTCGTCTACCTCCCTCTCTGTTTTTTGTAATTACTTTGAATGTAAAATGTTGTCTCCTCCCCTGCAAATTAGACAGGAAATAAATTCACGTCTATAATTTAGGTAAATCACTTTTTAGACTTATTTCATATATTTGGAAATTAATATAGTGGTGAAATAGGATTGTCTTCAGAAAATTAGATATAATTATCAGTGAAGTTTTTAGTTCTAGAAATGCAAGATGACTTTGTAGAAGAAATATGAATATAACAGTTGATAATCCCTGAAGCTGGCTCTTTACTAGATTGTTTTTCCTTCAGAAAACGATTTGAACAGCAGCAAAAGCTCTTAGAAGAAGAAAGAAAAAGACGCCAATTTGAAGAGCAGAAGCAAAAGCTCAGACTTCTGAGTAGTGTGAAACCCAAGGTAACGTATTCCGGCACACAGCATACCCCCCCGAATGTGCCTCTTCTAAGTCATTAGTGGATTTTGTTACGTGGGCACCAGTGCAAGCTGAGGCTGTGGTTGATTTGTTTTGGTTTTGTCTAAGTCCGAAAGCAAAGGACTTTTCTTTTTCTGTAAAGATACTTTATTGTTGAAGGGAATGGGATAGCAGCCATTATCTTCTCAACTCTTGTTTTCTGCCTTTGGAATGCTTGTAATCTTTTCTTGGGAAACATTAATACTGGATACTTAATATCTAACAGCTGTAGCCTAAAGTATTTCTAAATGGGCCTTTTAATAATCTTCTTTAGAGTGTTGTTTTACTCCTTCGCTTTATGTCAATGTTTTTCTGACTTGGAAAATTCACTATCCAAAGTATGTGGTAAAAATATTGTAAGTTGACGAATATTTGCACTTTTCTTTCAACTTATGTGGATTAGGACGAAGTGTGAGAGACAAGTGAAGGAATATATATACATTTATTGTCTCCCAGACAGGAGAGAAGAGTAGAGATGATGCTTTGGAAGCCATAAAAGGAAACTTAGATGGGTTTTCCAGAGACGCTAAGATGCATCCTACTCCAGCATCACACCCTAAGAAACCAGGTAGTTTTAATTTAAAAATTTTCTTTTGTTGGAAGGTGACTTATAGTCCCTGTGTGTTTAATTGACGATTATGTGTGTGTGCCGAGAGTGAATGTTGAACAACTCCTTCAAGCTAAGTACAGATTTGGATGTTTTAAAATTTACAGTGGGTTAAGAGCTCTGGTCTAGACAATCTTGTGGGGGAGGAAACCTCTTTGTCTTCTAGTAAATGTCAGTATGACAACTTGTAAATCTTCTGTATAAATGAATATGCTAACGTTAGTAAAATCCATTCACTAAAAACAAATGTAATAAGCAAGTTTACCATTTCAGCCTCATTATTTTAAAATAGTTTTACTTTTGATGTACTAGTTCAGATTTTATTCAGTGTGATGAAACTTACAAATTTTCTAAATGTCTCCTTTAAAAAGTCATGGATTTATATGTATAAAATAGATAACTAATGAGAACCTACTGTATAGCATAGGGAACTCTACTCAGTGCTCTGTGGTGACCTAAATGAGAAGGAAATCCAAAAAATAGGGGATATATGTATATGTATAGCTGATTCACTTTGCTGTACAATATAAAATAACACAATATTGTAAAGCAGCTAAACTCCAATTTTTAAAAAAGTCATGGATTAAATAATATTTCTCGTGAAATTTTAGTTTTTAAAATACATTCCTTTGTAGTTTTTATTTTCATTTACCATCAAACAAGCAAAAGAAAACTACCTAATAGAGCAGGGTAAAGAGATATTTCTGGGGGGTTCTTGGCATGTGTTTTAAACATTTAGCAGTTGAAATGAGCCTTATCTTCACATAACTGTTACCACATCCTTTTTTTAAATTTGATATTTTGACATTCTCAGCTGATTTCAAGAATAACATACCATTAATACGTGAATAGTTTTCATAAATCATTCAGCAAGTGCTATTTTCTGCAGGCATGTATTACATTGACAATTTTTATAGGTACCTTTTATAGGTGATATCAGGAGGACATAATCTAATATTGGCACAGTAACGAGTTCTTGACTTTCTGGGACAGCTTTGCCTCTGTGCTATTAATTTCACTTGCTAGATTATATACTCAGATTATCGTTACAAACATATGCCCCAAAGTAAAATATATACTGATATTGAAAAGGGAATGGATATTAGCAATCAGAATGAGTTCAGAAAGGAAAAACATACCTAAAAATGAAAATTATAAGCTGAATAAGCTAGTCAGTAAATTTTAGTATAGTCGTTGTGATGGTAAAACTGGACCCAGCATGGAACCTAATTAGATAAAGGAGAAGAAGGCAGAAAGGAATGGTCATTGTTAGGTCACATACTTTTCTATCCATATAGAATGGCCCCTTTGGACAACTGGGTATGGTTTAAAAACTTCATTGTTAAGTAACAAATTGGTGTTTTGATGTTCAAGTAATCTCTTGAGTTCAGTCAACATGTGTGCAGTTAGCTGTTTCTAGTTAACTGCTTCATGCTTCGCTAGAAAAATAGTTTTTTGAAGCAAGCCCAAGGAATTTCCAGAGCTTCTCCAGCTAGGGTCTTAAACCTAGGCCTAAAGTATGTAAAAAGTTTCCAGCCTTTCTACCACCAGAGGCATAAACGCCCATAGACTGTTTACCTTAAAATATTGAATATACAAACTGTACCGCATAATTTTTATACTTCTTGTTAATCATATATATATATATATATATATATATATATATATAGCTACAAGAGTTTCTAAGCCAAAATATATACCACATAGAATTAACATAATTCCAGTCAAATGCAAAGAAATTTTTAGCCTAAAAAAAAAGAAAAGAAAAAAAGTTGGTTTAGCCTAAACAGTCAGCTAGTATATCCATAGTAGCTGTCAGTTTTGCATTGTTACTGTTTTCTACCAGTACTGATCTGAGAACCCAAAATGAGAGCTTAAATACACACTCTCAGTAACCATTATTGGGAGAATTGGGATTCATTATGACATGGCTTTTTTTAAACAAAATTCATTAAGGCAGTAATTTTGCATATTCATTTTGCATCTTTCATAGAACTTTAATGCTTACAGGCTTTATTTCATGGATCCAAAAGAGAAGCATATAGTGTCCCCATTTTTCAAATGAGAGCCTTTTTTTTTTTTTTTTTTTTTTTTTTTTTTTTTTT